GCTTGAAAATCTATTTTCTACACTACCATCTTACTTTTTTCCAGAAAACATATCCTCAGTTAGCTATGAACATGGAAAACGCTTTCATCAGGAAATAACGGAGTTTGAGAAGCAATGTCATAGCAGCTAGGAACAGCTACCTGCTAAGTGCCATCAGAGTTATTCATATTCCTAAAATAAAATTGAACTCTCTTTATTAAGAAATGTTCGAACATTTCTTTTTGAATCATGAAATGAATGTATGTGACTTTACGGACGATAAATCTTGTTGTCCTTCTTTTTAGGAAGGTCGTCTGTCTCGAAAAGAATCTCTCGCGAATAAATCTAGTCCCACGCGGTGCGTAATTACCCCGGTTAAAATAACATTTTAATTAAGTATTATTAATTACGGCGGCGGTCGGGCATTTACCGGACTCATTAACGCGACCGGAACGGGACGGTCACCCGCGTTTATCGCCATTTTCTTATTAGCCGACGTCAATGTAACGATAAAATATAGTCCAAACCCAGATCCTGTCCTGAAACAGAACCGTATCTCGTCTTCTTACAACAAAATCAAACTACACCAAATTCATAAATAGAAACATTGAAAGTATTGTATTAAAAAAATATTTAGGATCTATTAAAAATTTATTTCGTGCAATTATATCATTTTTTTTTTCTACCGAAGTCCTGTCCTGGATTTGAACCCAATTACTTTTGGCAGAATATTTCAACACGATCGAAGAAGTTTTTGCGAGCTAATTGGGGAGAAGTGAGTTTCATCGGCGACGTATGCACACGATTATTTAATTAATTAAATTTAAATATGTATCGTGTATTTTGTTATCAGGTACAAGAGGGTCTCGTCAACGGTTTTATAGGGTCCGATCTGTCACTTCGCGCACACCATTGTAAATTATAAGGAGAAAAGGATGAGATTTTCGTTCCGACGGTAATTTATTTTCCAACGTCCTCGGAACGAATTCGATCTTCTTCTCGGTTAATTAAGGCGCGAAACCGCGTTAAATAAATCTTTCGAAAGGGACCAGGTAGTGTCCCAAAACTTTTCGTTACATATACTCACACACCATATGGAGTCTTTTCAAAAAATTCTAAACAAAAAAAAATTTATTCAAGATGTTTTTGTAATATTAATAGAATTTCGTAAATGATTCAAAAAATCTCTTTTTGTGTGTTAATCTGCTTCATGACATGAAAACAAGATCGACAATGGGGCCCCGAGTAATGATTGCCATACGTCTCCGGTTGGGTTTAGTCCAAGGGGGGTCTTGGGGATACCCCTACCAACGACCTAATAATTTATTAATGGCTGTCATTCGGGCCTAATGACTTCATCTTGTTGGAGAATGACCCGGACGGCGCCCGTCGCCGGTAGCGACAACGTCAACGCGACGGCGACGACGATGGCGCGACTCCTCCGCCCCGGGTAGGAAGTACAAGTCATGATGCGGTCCCGGTTCGCTATCAAATACGCATTCATCTCCGACGGAGGTCGCGTGCCCATGGAAATCATTAATAATCTTGGACGGGATGACGTCTTCAGTGTGAAGTCATGCTGGCAAAACTATGAATTTACTTGTTTTTGTAGTCGTATTGATGTTGAAAACTAAGTTCTTGAAATATGGTAATTTGAAAAACATGTTTTTTTTTAATTTAATAATTAATAATACCCAATTATACAATATCGTACAATTACATCAAAATTATTTAATAAATTGTAAAATATTCATAGGTTTCTTGAAATAATTAGAATTCATTTTCTCGCTTACCAAGTAAGTCTTCCTAGCAAAGTGTATAGCCTGCAATAAATTGATTTCCCCTCTAATTTCTTTTTTAATGTATTTCTATATGTTTTACAACAAATTTGCAATTAATTAAGTGGTTGTAGTTTACTTGTTGTGTTACTTAGGAATCACAGAGTAAGGCAGAGAGTTAGCTCACCGGGAAAATGATAGGCCATTCTCTATCTCTTATTATCACATCATAATACCGATATTTTCTCTTTGTCATCTTGATAGAAATCCTTAGTAGATGGCGTACATGTCGTTAGTAATATTACAGAAAGCTGTTGACTTTGTTTAAGCGGTTTTGACATTTTATGTACGTCACATGTCACACAGTCCTTTTGCGTTTATTGTCTTATTTGTGCTTATTATCTATTTTTGCGTTGTATTTTTTACGAATAATTTTCGAGAATAATTATTGTAAAAATGTTTTGCATTGTGTGTGGATGTAGCGAAGATGAAGTTGGAAAATTATTTTGTTTTCCCAAGAATAAGGACAGGTTAGTATTTTAATTATATTAATTTTTAATTTCAATAGTATTCAAATTTTTGATAACACCGTGTCACTTAGGGTAAGAAGCAGTTGGTGTTTGATAACCAACATTTATTTGTTATAATGCTTTTTATGTAAAGTACATATTATGTACTTTATCAATTGAAAACCACAGACAAAAACGGCCAACCCAACCCAACCTGTGAGGGTCATCTCGGAGAAGACGAGGACAGGGGTTTTTAGTGTAATTATATTGTAATATAAATATAAAATTTTAAATCGCCAATGGATTTCTCTTTATTTCGCATTGAAATTATAAAATTATAACTTTTTGATTTGAGGTGCTTTTTATTGGTCTATTAAGCTGTAATTATTTTGGCTTACGCAAGCTAAATATAGCTTAATAGATCCACAAAAAGCACATTAGATCAAAAATATTTCTGTATTCAAATATTAAATTAAATAAAAGATTTGAATTTTGCGCCAATTGCATTTTTGCTTCTCACTGCCATCTACATAAGTGTTACATGATGAGTGAGAGAGACCGGTATATATTGGATCTCGCTTTCACAATGGAGTTGGCCGTCTGGTAGTAGTCTGTGTTAGGAATGTCGTTATTAGTTGAACAATATACCTGGAATTTCTTGCAATATATGAATACAGGAACCATAGTTACGAAACTACTATGCCCTTGCACTGTCCCACATAAAATGCAACATAGCTTAATGGGTAGTTTTGCAAAGGAAAAGTTTTGCTTGTATTGTTAGTTCTACTTTTCGATCAATAAAAATATATCACAATCTATCGTTGAATAACAATTAAAACTAGAACTAACACTAGACTTAGAACTAGAAACATTCGGATTTAGCCGCACGTCTCTCAAGACAGCTAAACCCAAATGTTTCTAGTTCCAGGTCTTGTGTTAGGTCTAGTGTTAGTGCTAGTGCAATACTAGAACTAACACTAGACCAAGAAGTAGAATCATTCGGATTTAGCCGCACGTTTCTCAAGACGTGCTAAATCCGAATGATTCTAGTTCTAGATGTTGTGTTAGTTCTAGTGATGGTGCTGGTGTAAAACTAGAACTAACACTAGACCTAGAACTAGAAATTTTTTCTAATTCAGTCAAAATATGTAACATATTGATATCTTATGTTAGAACTATCATTAGACCAAGTGGCAAAAACAGAGTAAACAGTTTCTTGTGCCAGTTTGTTATTTGTTTATGGTTCAATATCAAAACACTAAAGACTTGCTGGATAAAAATACAGACTATAATAATATGAACAATAACTATAAAAGTGTATAAAACGTGTATTTTGATGGTAGTAACGATAAGTATTTGCCATTTGAAGAAGCAGACATTGAGAGAAAGCAAAAATTAAAAAAAGAAAATGCATGGAAAGGATGTTCTAAGAAAGATTCAAGAAAAAAGTTGAAAATAATTTGTGCAATATTCAATATTTCCAAACATTTTGAGACTTTGCATCATAATTAAGATTTGCAAATTAATACTGCTATAGAAAGAAAGCGAACTAAAATAAATCAGGTAAATCATATACTACAGTATACACGTTTGAACTTATCCAAATTGAATTTAAACCTTTTGAAGGAAGAAAAAATTAATGACAGTTAAGAGTGCAAAAGTCTCAAACAAGTAGTTACTTTTATTTAGAAGATAACATTTCTCTATGAATAGGATTTAAAATAAAGGACTTAGAAATATTCAATGTTCGTTTTTTATTTGGAAAGTTTTATTTTAAATCAGTGTTAACCCTCTTTATGGATATTTGATAAGTTCAAACGTGTATACTGTAATATATGATTTTCCCGATCTACTTTAGTTCGCTTTCTTACAGCAGTATTAATTAGCAAATCTTAATTATGATGCAGAGTCTCAAAATGTTTGGAAATATTGAATATTACACAAATTATTTTCAACTTTTTTCTTGAATCTTTCTTCTTCGTTTCTTAGAACATCCTTTCCATGCATTTTCTTTCTTTAAATTTTGCTTTCTCTCAATGTCTGCTTCTTCAAATGGGAAATACATATCGTTATCACCATCAAAATCAAACTTCATTTCCTATGTCCGGTATAGCATTATCACTTTTATGGTTATTGTTCATATTATTATGGTCTGTATTTTCACCAAGCAAGGCTTCAGTGTTTTAGTATTGAACCATAAATAAATATCAAGCTGACTGTTTACTCTGTTTTTGCAACTTGGTGTTTAATTTCTTTTATATATTAATGCGAAAAAAAAAATAGTCTGGTCAGAATCGTATATTGAGTCTTCCACAGTGTCTGTTGTTTAGTCTTCTGCACCAACAGTTTTGACAGAAACTTTTAAGTTTTTTAATTTTGATAATTTTGTACATTTGGTAAACGGCGATGTTCTTTGTTTTTTTCCACTGTTGATATCATGATATCGAGAGGACAAAAGTTTCAGTACAAAATACCTCTTCGTAAACTAAGGCACAAATATGTTAATAAAGAAAAAGTATAAAAGATATAAGGATAAAATTACAACAAAAAGTAATTGATTTTTAATTTAAATTAAAAAAAGAATTTAGTTTCGTTATATTTCGTATTTCTTGGAAAAGATAAAATCAAGCACAAACAACACATGTTCGTAGCAAACCACTTTTTCTAGCAGATTCTCCGTACCCCCCCTTATAAAAATCATTCCTTCGTTGGTCAGTTTTATTCGATTTTTCACATAAACAGTGTCTTAAAATCTTATTAACAAATAAAGTAAAAGTTAATTAAAAAATACGAAATGGTTGGAAGAAAATCTGCTGTATGTACCAAAAACAACAATCTTTTTGTCTTAGTTTCGTTGATTGAAATAATTTGTAGGATCCAGTAAAAAGAGTGCATCACAATGAATTGGAAAGAAAAAGACGAACAAGATTGAGTGAATCGTTTGTTGCACTTAGAAACGCTATAAACCTCCATTCCGAACATAGGGTAATCTTTTTAATTGTGAAACTTCATTAATTTACCACTTTTGTTATAGGTAAGTAGAAGAGAAACTTTGCTGCAAGCGGCGAAATTCATCACTAAAAATACAATTAAATGGGAACAAGAACAAAGAAATATCAACGATATATCAGTAAAAATTGAAAGATTGAAGCAAGAAAGTAAATAAAAATTGCATTATTTTTTTAACATTAATCTTATTTTAATTTTTAGTTTGTAGGCTGGAGGGGAAACCTTGCGAAGAATGCGACAACAAAAAGGTTGTTATTTCATCTGATAGTAGTCAATCAGAAAGTGATTTAGATTTGGATAATCCTAAAGATCCTGATTGGAATTTATATAACTATAGACGTAATTAAAACTATTTTAATTACGTAGAATGCTTAATTATTTTTTTAGAATTAAATTCTTGTTTTTGTTATTTTTGCTAAGATTATATATCTTTGAATAAACTCTAAATTAGTTTCCTTAAAACAATTTTTTTCACTACACTATAATATGTATATTAAATCATAAAGTCATAAAATCATTGTCTTTAAACTTTAAGTTTCTCAAAAGTTAAATAAAATTCCTCACAGACACATAAAAATAATCTAAATCAGAGTGCGGTAATATCGTTTGGGGGGAATCTCGACCTCTTCTCGTCTTGTAAAACGACTCGACACCGACCGATTTCAATAAAACCCCCGTAAAATTATAATAAAATCGTAGTAATCCGCGTGGTGTACGGTTCCGCCCGGAGCAGTTAAGCAAATTCGCGTTTCGAGGGGAATCCAAAAACCACCCTATATTTTTAAACCTTTCTAACCGTAAAACCACCCTCTGATTTCAAAATAAAGAGATTCTTGGTCGCATTTAAACATTTTTCTCGCTTGTGTTCCGATCGGTTCTAAAAATTGTCGTTCCCGAAATATACTCAAATTCTCTACCTCCTCCGTCACCTCCACCACCTCTTCCTTTTCGTTTCTAAGCTTTCAAAACGTCACGGAGAAAAATTACTTCGACTCCCGGAGGACACAAAATATAAATACGCTTCCTCCAAAAACCACCACCTTCTCTTTTCTCTCTTCGTCTTTCCTTTTTCGTTTCGTTTGCTTTTTCGTTTGGTTTCCTTTTTCGTTTCGTTTCCTTTTTGTTCATCTTTTTCTTTTTTTTTTGCCATCGTCACCCTAATTCCGTGTACTCCCCTTTATCTCGGCACGATTGATATATTCATAGTAGTAGGTGCAGACATAATAAATAGTCCCAATAATCCCGGTGCCTTCGCCGCCGGTGCCCAAACCCCTGGATAAGTTATAGGGGACTCGGGATACATTCCTAAGAGAGACCCTACACACACACATGGCATCGCTCGGTACTCCGGGACTGAGTTCTTCTTCTTCGATCCCACTTTTAGTCGACCCCCTTTTGAACACCGTCGAAACATTCCCATATTCTGAAACGTGGAATATTTATCATGATCCGGTTACTATTGGGGTTGGATCTTTTTTAATTTGAATACTTGTAAATTAAAGAATATTATATACAAATTTTTGAAACACTTTTTGGAAAAATTTTAGACATATTAGATGTGAATACTAATTTGCAAAAATGTAGCTGTTGTATTACAACATTAACAATGCAAGGTCTCCTATTTTGACTTCCTGGATTGGATAGAATATAAATACTGGGGCAATGAGAGCCGTTTTTCACATGCTTGGGAAACAACAAAATTTAGTTTTAACAACAAAGTTGCTATACCAGACCCATCCCTACAGGAGCTAAAAGATTGCTTAAAAGGCAACAAAATATTAAATTGCATCACAAGATAACCGCGACGAAACTCCTGAGCTTTGAACAATTATAGAGCTGTAATTGTGGAGCTGGCTCCACTAAGGCCACTTATCGATAGCAATCAGAATCGTACAAACCGATTCAAAAAAGGACCAAATCTGCTTTGGTCTCTTCAAAATCACTGTCTGAATGAAAATTAAATAAGTTCTATGATTAACATTATCTTCTGATATCTACATTATAAGACTGAGAAGTTCAGGTAATCAGGACTGTAAGTATGTGAGGAATATACCACCATGTCTCGAAATCTTTGGCAACTTGTTTCTATTCCACGATTGTTTGTGGTAACAAAAGTTCTATCTTTTTCAAGAATCTACAATTACTAAAAATACACAACTGCCATCCGCATACTTCACATCTTCCAGTTAAGGCAACAAATTAAAAAGGAAAATGTAGCTGAGTTAGTAGAATTGGCTGAGAGTGAAAACTGAGCTTTATTTCTGGATGAAAATGTGTAAACAATAAACACTCTGCATAATTTCACTCTGAGTTTGTCTTGTTTTAGATTCAAAGTACGTATGTGTACCATTTGGTGAAAAACCATTTAAAACGGGAAAGTGTGAATGAAATTGAGAATGATAAATGTATACTTTTACATTGTAGGTTAAGCAAAGCAAGAAGTTGAAGTTGCAAAATGCTTATGTTAGAACTAAAATGTTATGTGTAAAACGGGGAAAAAGAGATAGTACAAAAAATCAGGATTTTTATACTGCATTATGTACATGAACTGATAAAAAATTATCTTTTTTTGTCTTACTAGTTTCAGCACTTCATCGGGTGATCAATCCGAACGGTTCTAGTTCTAATTCTAGTGATAGCGGTAGGTAGCGCTAGTTAGCATAAGATATGCTGCATATTTTTATTGCACTAAAACTAGAACTAACACAATATCTAAAACTAGAATAATTCGGGTTTAGCCGTCTTGAGAGACGTGCGGTTAAATCCGAATGTTTCTAGTTCTAGGTCTAGTGTTAGTTCTAGTTTTACACTGGCACTATCACTAGAACTAACACAAGACCTAGAACTAGAATCATTCGGGTTTAGCCGTCTTGAGAGACATGCGGCTAAATCCGAATGTTTCTAGTTCTCGGTGTGGTGTTAGTTCGAGTTTTGCAGTATTTTTTTTGTCTTACTAGTTTCAGCACTTGATCATCATCAGAGACAATGTGACATAGAAACGAATTGAAAAGTAAATTTTAGCAAATCTTATCAGAGAGCAAATCAGAGACAAAAACTGAAAGAACTAACAGTTCAGTTAAGTAATAATAGGTTTCCGATGCCATTTTTACAAGTCTGTTTTCTGACCATAATTTTCTACACACTCTATGATATGTATCATGTATTCTATGATTTGGAATCTTAATTTATCACACCATCATGTTTTTTCTGAAACATCGCATGCATAATTTCATGGATAAATCAGGTAACAATAAATTTTGAGCAATTTTTTTAAATATATTCTTTAAAATAAATCACAAAACTTAACCTAAAATGTTTCTATTGATGTTTTATATTGAAGAGACAGGTGCTCGCGACACGCTATACTTCGTTAACTCTATAGATTTACAAGCGTCAATAAACGATATCTCGGTTCACGATATGAGTGGATCGTCCATAAAAGAGAATATAAACTTTTACGAGCTCTCAAGCGACCACTCGATGGGATTCGCTCTTTCACGACAACGATGACATCTCTAGAATACAGCGGAAACGAATACGAATAAGACTCGGTGGATTTCGAAGATGTCCAATCGGTTATTTTTAAATTAATTGGATTTTTTTTTAATAATTTCTGCCAAGGTTTTTAATAAAATTTTAATTTTTAATCGAAAAGACGCAATCAAAATGAATCGTTATAATAATAAAAAAATAATAAAATGTCCCTCGAATTATGCAGATCTTGTCGTCGCTGTATAAACTGTTCCGCAAATAAAACGTCCGTCGCGCCGCCTCCCGGGAGGTCGTTTAAAAATGCAACGCCACCCTTCGGCTTTTATACCAATTAAACATGCATGGGACGTCAATGTTAGCAATTAACTTCGATAGATATTTTAATGGACCGCGTTGAAATATTCAGGTCGAACCTCTCCGGGGAAGCTTTCGAGAACCTTTCGATATAATCAAAAAACGAGTTCTCCCCTTTTATTTTAACTCAACAATAACGTTCAGTTTATAAAGATTTTTAAGACGTTTTTCGTTCTTTTACACCCCTCTTAAAACGAAGTGACACAAGCAAATTGAGCAAATCGAGGTTGGCGTTGACGAGAGAGGAATCATATTCACGTTGTAGAAATAGAGGGAAAAAATATCATCCAGTGATTCTAAAAATATCAATAATATTTTTATTACCGCAATAAAGATTGTATCTTATTTTTTAACAAAATTAATTTTTTTATAAGATTTTCTTTATTTTATTAAATATTAAAGATAAAAGAAAAATTGCGACGATTATTTAAAGTTTTATTTGAGAAAACTGTTTTGAGGTCCCTGATTTTGAGTAAGGATACATTCTGCTGACTTCACGTGTGTGCAAGAAGTGATGAGATCAAAGAGAAACTCTCGGTTGCATTTCCGTTCACGTTCTACAGCACACGAAATGTGTCAAATATGAAATTTCGAAGTCATCCTTTTCAGTCTACTCTTTGGGAGGTCTGAAGGCATCGAAATCCATCTTTTGATCGTTATTTTAAGATATCTATTACTTAAATAGATGTTTTTAAGAATAGAAAAAATTAAAATCAATTAAGCTATCGTTAGTAGCCAAAAAAAATTATCACATACCTGGAATTTCAGATAACTCGCTATATATGCATGCAGTAACCATAGCTACGAAACTATCCACTATGCACTGCACTGTCCCACATAAAATGCAACATAGCTTAATAGTACATTGGGTAGTTTTGCAAAGAAAAAGATTTGCTTGGAAAAAGGTAACATCCTTATGATAACACTGAGTTTTCGGCCGTCTTAAGAGACGCACGGCTAAACCCGAATGTTTCTGGTTCTAGGTCTAGTTCTACTTTTCGTTCAATAAAAACATACCACAACCTAACGCTAAATAACAATTAAAACTAGAAGTAACACTACACCTAGCCGTCTTGAGAGACGTGCGGCTAAACCCGAATGTTTCTAGTTCTTGGTCTTGTGTTAGTTCTAGTGATAGTGCTAGTGCAAAACTCGAACTAACACTAGACCGAGAACTTGAAACATTCTGATTTAGCCGCACGTCTCTCAAGGCGGCTAAACCCGAATAATTCTAGTTCTAGGTAACACTAGACGTAGAACTATAAAGTATCGGGTTTAGACGTTCGATTTCAGACGAAAAGAATCAGTTTATCAAAGCCATCATTGAAGATACAGTTCATAATTTTTGAAGATTTAAATGTCAATCATCAAAATAAAGATTTTGACAAAATTGATGAATCAGACCTTGATGATCGAGTGGAAACGAAATCAATGGATTCCAACACCAACCGTGAATTCATAGACGAAGAAGAACTTGGTGAACCCGAAATCGATGATAGTTGTTTTATGGTCAAATACTTTTTTCTTGTTTATTGAAGATACTTGCCTTCAAATTTCCAATTAAGTCACCAATCACAACTGTAAGTCATTTTTTTTTCTTCAAAAT